ATTCACTAGATGCACCTCAGGGGAGGTATAACTGGACGGGTCAGGGTGAGGGGGGACTAGGGGAACCCCAAATCCTCCACTGAACCAACATGAGTCCGGACAGAAGGTACCTTCAGGTCTCGTGTATATATATAGAGAGGGCTGACCTGTCCCCGGCCCTATAGATGTCTATGGAGGGTCTACTGCACATGTGTAGGGAGCGAGACCCGGGCCCGGCATTTGGTGACCTCACTTCTGATCTCCTCTAACTTCCAGAGATCTCACATACCAGCAAACCGCTCCCGACACTGGGGGGTCTCATATATAAAGGATTGGACTGACCTGTAGAGGTCTACGGTGGTCCTCCAATCAGCTCCCGGCACTGGAGGTCCCATATATATAAAGGATTGGACTGACCTGTAGAGGTCTATGGTGGTCCTCCAATCAGCTCCCGGCACTGGGGGGTCTCATATATATAAAGGATTGGACTGACCTGTAGAGGTCTATGGTGGTCCTCCAATCAGCTCCCGGCACTGGGGGGTCTCATATATATAAAGGATTGGACTGACCTGTAGAGGTCTATGGTGGGCCACCAATCAGCTCCCGGCACTGGAGGTCTCATATAAAGGATTGGACTGAGCTGTAGAGATCTATGGTGGTCCTCCAATCAGCTCCCGGCACTGGAGGTCTTGTGTATATAAAGGATTGGACTGACCTGTTTATGGTGGTCCACCAATCGGCTCCCGGCACTGGAGGTCTCATATAAAGGATTGGGACTGAGCTGTAGAGGTCTATAGTGGTCCTCCCAATCAGCTCCTGGCACTGGAGGTTTCCCATATCACTAATATCTTCTTTGTGGCCCTCTTCAGTAGATCATGTGACGTGTAGGAGCCACAGGTGATGGAGACCTCCAATACCGGGAGCTGATCACTGCCGGTGCACTGAACGCCGGGTCCGCTCTGGGGGTAGTGTAGAGTCTTTGGGACAACCCAAAGACTCTACACTACCATGCATTGTGCTGCACTCCATTGGCCCGGCGATTTGTGATGCGTTCTGCTCTCCTGTATATAGACCTGAAATGCTTCCCAATGACAGGTTCTCTATAAAATATAAACCCACCGAGAATTCCCAGAGCCGATCCCTGACACCTCCGCCATGGCGGCTCAGCTTCCTCCCCGGAGGCCCCTGTGCAAAGGACAAAGGGGAGACTACAAGTGACCGTTTCAGAACGCATTACACAGACATGGTCCCCTGTTGTCACCATACTCAGGTGGTTCCATCCTTGGAAGCCTGCTGAGATCTGAGTATTGGGGGATCTATGGATGGACGCTCCTTGTCTGCTCTACATGTGTATTCATCCGTTCCCGTGTCTGACCGCAATCATTTCTCTTTCCTCTGCAGGAATTCCTGACCTCTGCTGACCAGAAGCCTCTTTATGCAGAAATGTAAGACTCCGCCTCTTTGTTACATGTACATGTTGGGTGTTGCTATGGGTGGTAATGGTGATGGTGGTGAAGGTGGTAAAGGTTATGGTTTCGATGGTGATGGTATTGGCTGTGGTGATGGTAATGGTTGTGTTGGTGATGGAAATGGTTGTGGTGGTGATAGTTGTGTTGGTGATGGAAATGGTTGTGGTGGTGATAGTTGTGTTGGTGATGGAAATGGTTGTGGTGGTGATAGTTGTGTTGGTGATGGAAATGGTTGTGGTGGTGATAGTTGTGGTGGTGATGGTAATGGTTGTGGTGGTGGTGGTGGTGATGGTATTGGTTGCGGTGATGGTGGTCCTGATCTTCCTTGGGGTGTCTTTGGGGTGATTCCGGGGACACGGGTGTATTTTTTGTGTCTAAAGCTAAACTATAATTCCCGATGTTGCCCGAAGCTTCTCATAGACCCATCACACAGCTCTTTATAGGAATAGTCACATTGGCCTTTGCTGCAAAGGAGCTTGCACTCTAATGTCCCGCCATAGTCAGACACACACATGCGTTACTGGGCCCTTTAACACTCCAAGGATGGCCAAAGTGCCCCTCCCCCCACCAATGGGCTGTGAACTACTTCAGCAGCGTAGGTAGCAGGTCTTGCCTTTTTGGCCAGTGATGTCACCCAGAATTCCTGGCGGTATTACTGCACCTGGGAACCTGTCACTTGGCAGCGGGAGGGTGGTGTGTACAGTCACCTGAGATGCCATCGGTGGTCAGATTTGGGTTTAGGGTTTTTTGGCCAAACCCACAACAAATCAAACCTGAAGATGTTCGAGGAACGCTTTCCAGGGACGTCACCCCTCTGCCAATGACTGAGCGGCCAGCAAGATGGTCTCCTCCCCTTCTCTGTGGTTGTCATGTGACCACTCTGTGGTGGGATCTTCTGATGTGGGCCCGTTGTGTCCATTGTAGACGAGAAGGATTCGCACTGATATCACCAAAGTGACGGAAATGAATGATTTGGGTATTTTTTCTGTATTTTCATTCACATTTCTGATTCTCTTTCTTCCATTTCTCTCATTTCTCCGTCATTCCAATTATTCAATCCATAGAACTGATCGGAGGTTACAGGTAGGTGGAATCCTTTAGTGGGAGGTTGCTTTGGGGGTTTTTCCATACTTTTGATCATATTAGGGATGTAAATGGTTGAAATTGCCTGGAAGTTGCTCTGTGTGTGGTCGGCTTTGGAGGTTGCCGATAGAAGATTGATATTTTCCATGTATTTGTCTCAGGGACCTCTGCCCGAGCTTGACCCTTTAGCAGGAACGTTGGGGGAGGGGTTTTAGAAGTCACCTGAAGTCTGCCAATTTCTGCCCATCAACTCTGCACACTCAGAAGCTGGGAGACAGTTAATGGACAACATGGAGCTTGTTTTGCACTGTGTCCCTATGTGGAGGCAGCCATCTTGGTAGAGGCAGGGCTTTGCTTCCTCACGTCAGAGCCTCCAGCAAGGAGAACTTTGAGCAGAGCAGTAGTGACCTCACCAAATCTCCTCTCTGCCCCGCGCCATTGCATGCATTGATTTCTTACCCACAATGCTGCTTCCTTGACCTGCTGCTTCCACACCGTGGGGTCTAATTGTAAAATGTTTGCTTTGCTCATTCATCCAACGAAACTGCATGTGTGTGCCTTCTGTGGGAGGCGTTGTTAGAACGGGGCAGTAATCGAATGTTCTTAGTGTAATTTTTCCTCTGGGCGAATGTTCTCAGATAGGTTCATTGATAAAGAAATTGGGTGATGGGGGAGAAATACCACATTATGGCCACTAGGTGTCACCGAGGATCACAGAAAATAAATACGTCTCAGTAACAAGAGATACAATGTAACAATTCCGGAGACCAGTGCAGGGAATGAGCGGATGAATGTAACTATTGCTATCCCCGTAGTAGCAGTGGTTACATTTATAGGCGTTCCATTGAATATTTGACTTTTGTCGAGCCGGGTGATGTTGGCAAGGCCACACACAGATGGGGGATGTTCTAGTAGTGTATGTGGAGGGGGGTCTTGGTCCTGGGCAAACCTCAACTTTAAAGCTGAGGCAGATTTGAGTCAAATCCCTTTTGGTTTCTTCAGAAGTACACGGAGTGTAAGAACTTCATATCTTCATTCACTAGGAGCCAATCAGCCTCTGCTTCAGTGCACATGTGCTGCCAGGGAGCATACTGACAGATGGAAGAGCGGCGAGATGACCTCATCAGGTCCCGCTGATCCCAGTCAGTAGGCTGATCGGAAGACAACCAAATAGAATGACGCACACAGCACACATTTGGGTTTTGGAAAGTCGTCAGGACTTGGCCACAATGGGAGCAGTGATGGCCAGCTTACGATGCGCAGACTAGACCTCGTGTCGGCTCCTTCTCGTAGCACATTGATGCTCATAGTCAAGTTCTTCCAATTCTCCTTTGATTGCAGAAATGATTCCCTACAGATTTCTATCCTTGAGAGGATCCCGCTGTCATCAAACCTCTAGATAAGTAGTAATGGACGTCCACTAAAAATCTGGTCCAGCAAATGTTTTGGGCCATCCAGAGAGCTGCTCTGAGGAGGGTTGAGTACATGAGACAAGAAGGCGGCTGGATTCTGGTATCAGATTAGATGCCTTCTAAGGAACTCTTGAAACGACTTCTTCAGAAAGCTACTTTACATCCAGGAACTCTTGGTCAGGGAGCTAGTTGAGGAACATGCAGCTGGACTTGGTAGGCGAGCTGTACATTACCCGTTCGGCAACACCTGGACTGATAGGTTCACTAGCTGAGGAACACCTAGACTGGCTTGGCCAGGTATCAGTCTTGCTGGCTGCTCAGAAGTTTCTAGAATAACGTGGTGGGAGAACTTTCTTTGCATCGGGAGCTCCCAGAATGACTTGGTACCTGTTCAGTAACACTCGGTCTAAGTTGATCAGGTATCAGTCTTGATGGCTATTTTAGAAGTTCGTAGAATGACTTGGTGGGAGAGTTGTACATCTTCAGGAATACCCAGACTGACTTGGTGGGAGAAGTTCACCTGGTCAGGTTATTGATCAGGTATCAGTCCTGATGGCTTTTCAGAAGCTTGTAGAATAATTTGGTGGGAGAGCTATGTTTGCACCGGGAGCACCCAGAACGACTTATTGGTAGGGTTGCACTCTACGAGTTCTGGACTGACTTAGTGGTAGGGTTGCACTCTACGTGTTCTGGACTGACTTAGTGGTAGGGTTGCACTCTACGTGTTCTGGACTGACTTAGTGGTATGGTTGCACTCTACGTGTTCTGGACCGACTTAGTGGTAGGGTTGCACTCTACGTGTTCTGGACTGACTTATTGGTAGGGTTGCACTCTACGTGTTCTGGACTGACTTAGTGGTATGGTTGCACTCTACGTGTTCTGGACTGACTTAGTGGTATGGTTGCACTCTACGTGTTCTGGACTGACTTAGTGGTAGGGTTGCACTCTACGTGTTCTGGACCGACTTAGTGGTAGGGTTGCACTCTACGTGTTCTGGACTGACTTATTGGTAGGGTTGCACTCTACGTGTTCTGGACTGACTTAGTGGTATGGTTGCACTCTACGTGTTCTGGACTGACTTAGTGGTAAGGTTGCACTCTACGTGTTCTGGACTGACTGGATCAGGTAACAGTACAGTAGCATGTTCAGAAACTGTCAGCGTATCGTGCACGGGTGTCCCCACACCGCATGCAGGTACCCACGCAGGAGGACCAAATTAGTATGACCGCACTAGACAAGGTCGATGAGTTGTATATAATTTATTGTAAACGGCAAACAAAACACAACAACCCCACCAACGCCCACAAGCAAGCACAAGTAAGTAAAGTAACCAACTAAATATAACCACAAACACATACAAAGGATAACATAAAGTATCCAAACCAGGAGCAAATAGCTGAATACACACACAGGGTATACAAGCCAGGTAAACCTGGGGAGCAGGGCAAGACCAAGGTCGGGCTAAGGAACAAAGGGTCAGGGTACAGGCAGGTAACAGGACTCAGGACTGCAAGCAGGTAACCGGACTTGTGACTCAGGATACACAGGAAATGGCAACAAGCTCAGGGCACAGGACTCAGTCAGGGAAAGGCGACAGAATACTGAGCCACAGTCCTGACTGCAGGGATGGATTAAATACCCTCCCAGGAAGCACCAGGTGGTGGATAAGTGCCGGCAGCTGGGAGACACCCGCAGGTGAGCACTGGAGTCGCAGGTTCCAGCACCACCCAGCTGTGGTCTGGTACCTGACAGTTCCTGACTTCCTGGAGACACCTGCAGGTGAGCGCAGGAACTGCAGGACCTGGAGGTGCTATGGTCCCTGACAGAAACTCTTGAAGTGACTTGCTCAGAGATCGGTATATCATTTTTCAGGGACAATCAGACGGACTTTATCAGGTAGGTAGCTGAGGAACCCCGGGAATGACTTGGTTTGAGAGCTATGTGAGGGACCGCCTGGTACCCCGACTGGGTTCCTCCATCAGAAATCAGTTTCCTCTCCGCTGGACCCTGAATTCCAGCGTCCTCAGCCCAAACTTGCCCAATTATTGGACAGAACCAATATATTAGGACAGACAACTAAACTCCCCAAATAATAAAGATTGACCTCAAACATCAGACAACACCAATGTTGAAGTAAAAACAGGAAGTGACTTTATAGAAAACCAGCTCAGTGTGTGGGTGTATATATATATACAGTTCTGGGGGTCTAAAAACATAACGTAATCAGAACATCAAACAAACAATCCCCTCCCCCGATGCCGGTAATGAAAGAATAGGGAGCGGGACAACAAAGAGGATGGGATTATCTCCTGAATGTCCTGCGTAGGTTAATCTACTCATCTCCACCCAGAGTCAGCTATGGTAATCCCATCATCAACACAATGAGACCAATGGACAAACAGAGCTGTAACAAATTCATTGGGAGTCTCAGTCCAGAGTTAACCCCTTAGTGGTGCTGGATTCACAGCCTGCACCTATAAC